GTAAAGCTCCCGTTGTAAAGTTTTTAAAAAATAATTGAAAAAAAAAAACATTTATAGGAGTTCAAAGGGTTGGATCTTGCGCTAATATCAAATTCATTGATTGTACAGCACAGCAGAGCAAGTCATCTGTTTTCATTGCTTTTAATTCTTCTAGACATCAAGGTCTACATTTCCTTCCTCCTCGCTGTTATCGCTTTTAATCTCCTTTGTACTGTACCAGCACAGCCCTGACAGTTAATTTTCAATCACCCCAGTCCTCTGGTATTTTCTCGTAACTGAGGTGACAATCGATACTATTGATTCTTTCAGAGTGGAAACAGCAGTGTTTTGGTTATATGGAAAAAGAGGAGGGAAAAAGGCTTTAGTAGGCAGACAGACGGAGAGATGAATTCCTTAATTATCAAATGCACTGGATATTGATTTTTACATCTACCGTTAATCTTCCGCGGGCAGTTTTAACTTCCAAAGCTGAACAGATCACGACTGTGACACTTCATTTTTTTAGTTTATTCCTTTTGAGGTTTGGCTGCTGGGCTAGAGGGGGTATTGTCTGGGATTATAAATGTTGTACTTTCTTCCTACCAGTCAGACCACAGGGTCCCATACCGGTCCTGGATAACCTGATACATGCTGATTTTTGTTCTCACGGAATACAACTGAACCCTTAATTTAATTAACAATAAGATCAGTTTGAACTGTTTGGCTGCTTTCAGCTCTTAAACATGTTGGAGGTTGTCTTTTGACTATTGCATTAAATAAACTCCCAAACCTTGGAGTTGGAAAAAAAAAACAACTTGTTGATTCAAACAAAGCTTCGAATAGCAAATAAACTCAACTGTAACAAAAACCAGCAGCACCTGTGTGGCCTTCTGGGACCAGGAGTGAAAACCGTATGTTAAGCTGAACAGCGGACAAGGAGCCTCCAGGTAAATTAATAGGGTGTCTCAGGTGCAGGTGTGACAGACGTGAGGAGCATGAAACAGACTTACTTAATCTTTTCCAGCTTTGGAAGCCCCCCTTTTCCCTGTTCCAAAATTAATCTAAACTTATCCGATTAGTTAATAAAACCAGAAAACACAATGGCTCTCGAGGAGCAGAAAGGTGGTTGACCACTTCTTCACACCTGAAGAAGGCTCCACGGCCGAAACCTTGTTTTCTTTCTTCTTTTTTTCCAGCATGGAATAAACCTATTACTTATTCCACTGTAAACAATGACACCACCGATGACTGGCCCTCATGACCAGCAGAGATGCCCATGAATCCGAGTCTGAATGAAGATAACCTCATTCCTGAGTCACACTCGGTCTCAGACACAGCTTTAAATGAAGCTTTATAATGAAAGTTTGGGAAGGATGACAACAGCCTAGTTCAAGCTCAATCTGTCTCTACTGTCAGTAATTCGCAAATCACTCCTGATGTCATTTCCTCGCCTTCTGCATTATAAATCCTGTACGCGAGCCCAGTCTCTCCCTCGCAGGTCTCTTTTACATCCTTCCTCTGTCCCAACTCCACCTCTGCAGCTGCCTCTTGGTCACTCCTCACTCTCCCCTTTGGACTGGCCCTCAGCCAGGCAGGTTAAGCCAAAGGTGTTGTGACTAAAACACTCAACAAATCTTTCAATATGCTCAGTTCCTGGGTGTTGTTATTCCTAGTGAACCTCTGAATGCAGAGTGGAGTCATTAGACAACTATATCCAGTATGTCTGGTCAGTAAGCCTGGTGTGAGGCATTACTGTCATTCGACATTTAATATAAACCAGGCAAATTCTTCCAGACTCACACATCATAGAATTATATATTTACACACACAGCTTGGTTCTCGTTTTTACACTGTCAAAAGTTTGATTGGGTAGGATGAAACTTGTAATACGCGACATCTTTGAAAACAAGCTTGGTATGGAATAATGCAAAGTGTTTGTACAGACAGTGAAACCTTTCAGAGAATACGGGCCATGCTGTTCTTTGGTTCAGAGTTTAGAAGTTTATTTTACCCTTGTTCTACAGTTTGTATGCTGTTACAGTAACGCTTATTTCAATACTTTGCAGAAATATGTTTTGATGCCCTCTGCTGGCACTTCCTTAACACTTTTAGACTACAGTGTGTACCATGTAGCAGCAATGTGACTGCTTTCACAGCAAAGCAATTTGTAATATATTGCTTAATACTGTCCTTTTCATCCTAGATTTCCATGCCCTCTTTTTGGTTTTCATATATCAGCAATTTAATTGCGATTGGAATGCAACTAGAAATAGTAACAATTGCTTATGGACCAGTATCAGTTTGGAAAGGAAATATACACACATGCATATACAGTATGGTTAATGAACTAGGAGGAACAAAGTGATGGTATTTGTTGCAAGCACGTAGATGACCTTCAGCAAAGTCCAACTTTCATACAGTATGCACTGTGGGCTGCACGGATTGCTGTTGTTAATTGGTATGCACACCATATTTACAGTATGTGCCTTATCAAATTATCAAATTATAAAATGCTAATCTATAATGATTCCTCGATTTTCTGTGTCTGGAGTCCTTCAGTTCTCTCTAGCTGTGAGTGATCCAGACCTGAGGTAGAACAGTGAATCACCTTCAATAAATCACTGGCATATCTTATCAACTCACAGCTAAAACAGACAGCCGTTCAGTCCCAGTAGCGCAGGAAAGGATGCAGAGACTGACTATAAGCTATAAACACTGAAGGGCTACTTTGTGAAGTGTTTTTTAACAAGTTGAGGAATGTGTTATGAATGCAGTCATGCCATATTATAACATTTGAAATCATCAATCATCAAAGTTTAAATATAATGATAGTGTGAAGAAATGTAATACAGAAAATTAATGGGAGAAGTTTAATAGCACTTTCCAGTTTGTCCCCAGATTAGACTAGTGCTGAGGAGGGGTTCCCAAAAATGTGGTATATTCCCTGCATGTATTTATCCCTCCTACTGAGTGCATCTCTCCAATGTTTCTGTGATTTAACACAACTCGGCTCCAGGACAATTCAGAAACTTTTGAATGGACTGACCCATCTTAAGCTGCTAATCATTTAAACTCCTGAGGACTGGAGTCAACGAGCCCTGCTGTATGCTGCTGTAACTGGCCATCCAGTTAAAACCACCATTAACAGGAAGCTGCTTGTTTCTAGCAAAGATCACATCAAACTGAAGCCTATTTCAGAAGCCACGGGGTGCGAAAGAGGATGACACCCTGGATGTCACGCCAGTCCTTCACAGCTCACACACTACAACACAGGGACAATCTGCAGACACGAATCAAACTAGCCAGCATGTCTTTAGGTGGCAGTAAACTACAGCACGTGGCAAAACAAGGAAGAACATGCAGACTCCACACAGATGGTGGGACTGGGTGCGACCCAGGACCCAAGAGCTTTGGGGCAGTAGCTGGTGGCCTGACAACCCTGCAGCCTATATTCTGTTATAACGAATTCAAAAGAAGGTACAACATCATTTACAAAATGAATAACATTACCAATTACAAATGGCAACGGTTGAAATATTGATGATCTTGAAAAGGCTGGGCAAGCTGTAGGGCAGTGCAGTGAATTACAGCCCTTCCTGAGCACTAGACACTAGAAAGTGCTATATCCACATATTTCATCTCATAGCAAATTGATCCAAAAATTAAACAATGAATGTTTCTACTGTATTCTTCTCTCATTTGAAGCAGAAAGCATTTGTACAGGATATAAAATGATATACAGCGATAAAGACGTATTAGATTTTTTTGCCTGTATTTGTATTTTTGTTAAAAAACACCCACTTGGTGTCATATTTAAATATTAAAAATACATGCTGAATGTACGGATCTCCTTAGCATATAGAGTAATAAACAGAATTAAATTACCAAATTACTGTTCTGGTATGAATGGCTTGGGTTTCAGAAAATAAAATTAAGTATAACAAACCAGTTTCCACAGTTACCCAAAAACGTTTGGTAAGAAATGTTTTTTTTCTTTTCTTAAGTTTCAGTTCTTGAGACAAATTCACTGATAGCATCACTTCAATGGCATAATCTCTTTCGCTTCTCATTCATGCAAAATAAAAACAGAAGTAGATACCTAACAAGTAAAAAAAGAGGAAATGCAATTTCATAGGCAAGTGAAAACGTGTGTGACTCATTGAACAGGAGACTGCGGTTCTACTTATCTTAGAACTCAGGGATTATCTGCCTGTATGGATCTAGAAACGTCTGATGAAACAGCAACAAAAACATAAAATAAGTTATCAAACAAAATCATGCGTCAAATATTTTTTTAGATGGTAGCACTGGTGAAATGGCTGCATATTATAAGATGAACATCCCTAACATTCAACCACTGAAGGAAAAAGAAATAAGATTTGAATAAAAATAAAACGCTCTTTAATTGTGCTTCATCCAGGTGAAAATAACCTGTGTTAACCGATAGGCAGAACTTAGACAGATCACAGTTCAATTTTTAGAAGACCTACCCTGCCATGCCTAAGTATTCACTTTCTTCCTATGATGTCCCATCTCGTTTAATTATAAGTATTGTTAGATCTTTGCCTGCCTGGGGAAAAAAAACATTATTTAGGACTCTGAAGTACATGCAGATGTGATAGTTAGCTAGGTTAGCAGTATAGAAAGACAGGTGAGAAGCTCAGTTATGTGGGATCAATTAGGCAAGACGTGACGTCCAATCAAATTTTTCTTTGCAATTTTTGCAGACATGAATGTGCTTAAGATGTTAAAAGTGCTCAGGTGGAGCAAAAACTGAGTTTTGATTTAAAAACATCCACTTAAAAAAAATAGGGACCTAGCATTTTTAATTCAATGCAATGGGACAGCATTGGAAGGGGGTGAATATTTCTGCAAGGTCCGGTAAATTGTTAGTCAAATATCTTTCCCATTCTATATTCTTCTAACTGCCTGATGTTGTGCATAAGGAAAGAGTTCTCTTTCATTCGAAAATACAGTGTACATTGCTTTTAAGAGAAAGGTCTTTGATTAACCAGCTCGTACATGGTATAATAGTTTTTTTTTTATTCAACATAGAAATGAAAATCCAACCATAACTATTTCTAAAGTCTTTTGTCTGAGACAGAACCCAGTCCAGATACAATATGCTGAGAAAAACTAACAGAAAGCCCTTTTAGACAAGATTGTTGATTAAGAAGCTCTCATTGACATTAGAGTCATAGTATTTGCAGTTGTCTGAGGCCAGGATGGTTTTCATGCTGTTCCAAAAGTGTTGGTGTGCATGGGGATTCATTGGCCAAGTCAAGACAGATTTTCTACAGAGTATTTTCCTCATCTGAAGATACCTGGACTTATAAAACACCTTGTCCAAGAGGACCAGCACAACCACATCCACCTTTTCATCCAGCAGGCGCTGTTGAACCATAAAAAAGGCCTGCCTGAGAATTCCACTGACTGAACTTCCGCTGGCGAGAACAAAGACTGTTTTCTTACTACTGTAAACAGAATTGTGCAAATTCTGAATGCATGCAACCCCTGGGACCCAGTCCCGTTCCTCAAAACACAGCTTGAACCGTTGCCTCCCCTTATCCTCTAAATTAACCCGTAAGTCGTTATAAACCCAGTCCGTCACAGCTGCGTTCCTGGTGTCAAAGACTACGAAGGCATCATACTGGCTTTCTCCCCCGGGCAGGAGGGAATAGCCTCTCTTTCCTGCCCAGAAGACTTGGATAGAGTACCACAGATCCCAGCCGTAGAGTTTCTTCAGAAGTGACACCATGAGAAACGCGCTTGTCAGCAAGAAAGTGCAAAGAAAACCAATACTTCCATAGATTTCCTGACACGAGCGAGGATCCATGGAGAGGACATGCTCTCCCAGCTGAGACTCTGGAAATTCGCATCTCAGGTCGATGAGGTGGGGGATGGTTATGTTAGTCGTCTTGAGGAATTCTGTGAACCAGGAGGAATCACACGTGCATGTAAAGGGGTTTGCATGAAGAGTGAGATGGGAGAGGTTTTGAAGGAGTGGACTTGGGAGGTTTTGGGAAGAGAGAAGCTTAAGCTTATTGTTGTTCAGCAGGATGCAGCGCAGTGCAGTCGCATTTAGGAAGAAAACTTCGGGAATCCAATTAATTTTGTTGTGGCTTAGATCCAGGACTTTTAATATTGGCCCAAAATTAATCATTTCCTTTGGTAGGCTACTGAGGGAATTGTAGCTGAGATTTAGATAATTAAGGTTGCGCAGGACTATGAGGTGATTCCAAGGGAAGAACGTGAGGTGGTTATCATTGACTTTAAGGCTTTCAAGTGTTTTGGGAAGATTGCAGAGGGCCTCAGGAGGAAAGGATGTCAGCTGGTTTCTGGAAATGTCCAGGAAAATTAGGCTGGTAAGGTCTGTAAAAAAATGGAGATACTGATCGAACTTGCTGTCCCACATTATTTCAAGGCGGTTGCCTGAAAAATACAAGTACTTAAGAGAGGAACTGTGTAGTCTTGTGGAAATGCGGATGCCGATATTGTTCTCAGACAAACTCAGGACCTCCAGAGACATCAGGTGGCGGAGGAATTCAAAGCGGTGTCCCATTCCCTTCATGAGAAAATGATACTCGTTATGGGTAAGATCCAGGACTTTAAGAGTGGTGGCAAGTTCTTTAAAAGCATTGGGATAGTATAGATCAATCCTGTTGTGCGCCAGATTGAGGTAGGAAAGGTTCTTCAATGGCGAAAACTGACGTCCATCTAGAGGCTGACTAATGTAGTTAGAAGACAAATCCAGGCAGACCGCTTTCTCTATTCCAAGGAAGATATCTTCTTTAATGGACAAGATGTTGTTTTGGGATAAATCAAAGAAAAGGTGGCCTTGACAAAAGTTCTTCTGAAACATCCACATTTCCGGAACTTGATGACATTGATCCCATTTTGCTACTGAATCTTTTTGATTTCTGCCCAGATCTTGGAGAACCAGGGGTGCACGCTCCCCTACGCTTTGGTCCTGATTATCAAGTTGATCGATTCCTTGTTTGCAAGATGGAGAAAATGCCAACATGTTCTGTGAAAGGACCACCTTTTTCAAAGCCTTCATGTGGCTGAATATGCTCATGTTGACTTTATTGATGAAATTCATTCTGAAGTCTAAGCTTTGAAGGTGTCTCAGGTTTAATAAAGGTCTCAGACCTCTTGGTGCTAACTCAAGGAAGAAGTAGCCACTGATGTACAAATCTTCCAAGAGAGTCATTTCTTCCATGTACTTAGAGAGATAAAGATTTGCAAATGTTTTCAGAGGTTGATAGTTGTAAAGCAAGTTAAGAGATGTGACGTTCTTCAAGTGTTTGAAGAAGGTACCATTACGGATAACGTAGGCAAGCAAGTTGTCAGACAGGTCCAATCTAGAGAGGCTAGTTAATGGCACAAAGAGGCTTTCAGAGAGATTCTTGAGAGAGTTCCCTCGAAGGCTTAGGGAGTTTAGATTTCCCTGGCTTTGGAAGGCCTTGGGGTGCAATCTGATAGAAGCATTGTGTGGGCAAGGAAAACAGGGCTGGGCAGCATGATCACACCGCTGGCAGTTCCACTCCAGGTTCAGGTTCCACAGCCTTGTGAGGTTGGCAAAGTCAGCCTCTTTGATCTCGCTGATCTTGTTCTCTCTCAGATCCAGACTTTCCAAAGACCACGGAAGACCTGAGGGTACGACTGTGAGATTGTTGAACCCCAGAGTGAGATTCTGTAAGTGTTGCATTTCCTTTAAAACGTCCTCCTTTATGTAAAATGATTGATTGCAGGGGTTGGCGAAGAAGCAGTTTTTGTTGAGGTTGAGCTGTCTGAGGTTTGGAGCACCCAGTGGGCTGGTAATATTGAAGATTTTGTTGATCTCAATGCTAAGATACTGCAGGCCAGCGGTCAGTTTGGGAACCTTAGTTAAACTATTGCCAGCCAAGAAGAGGTGGCGCAGTTTTTTTAAATTGACAAATGCATTTGGCTCAATTACCATTTGGCAGGGAGGTGAGCCAGGAGATTTCAGTTTACTTGGAAGACAGTTCCAACTCATACTGAGATACTGGAGATTTGGAAGCCCGGTGAATGCGTTATTCTCCACCAGCCAGATACGATTTTCATCCAGATTTAGAGAAACCACTGACTGCGAATTGATCAGCGGCACTTGGGTTAACCCTCTCTTTGAGCAGTCCACCCTGGAAGATTTCGGGTCAGTGTCGCAAGGGAAAAACTTTAGAAAGGCTGTCCTGGCCAACGGCAGGAGGTGACAAATGCAGAGCAGAAGGAGCACACTCCTCAGAAGAGCCTGAAATGACAATTTTAACATGCGAAAAAAAATTATTTGCATTATTTTACGTCATGCTTAAGAAAAGTAAAATAAACCTTAACATAGTAACAAAGTAAAGAAATCTTATTCTGTTTGCTTGTTAAGTCTTTACATGTGTGAAACGCCTCTCCTTAATATTTTTAATTGTGATTATCATGGGAGTGTATTACAATTACTAAACCAATTTCCAGATTTGATATTTTTAATTAAAATATAAATGCATTTGGTACTTCTACACAGAAGTATTGCCTGAAATTTAACAGCATTTCAGTCTACCTCCATTAGTTACTGCAGCTGAAAAACACATCTGTCTGTGCAATGTGGGTAGTAGTTTCAGAAGCTTCTTGAGGACTTAATCACACTTCCTGCTGTTATTTTTTAGTCTATCAACCATTGTCCTGAAAAACTCTCTGTTTTTTGGAATTTAAATTATTTATGACATATATGACCTTGTGCTACAAATGCTATGAAGAATCTCTAAATCTTCATGTTATTAGATGAATAAACATACTGTACAACCAAATCTTAACTGCTATTATTAAGTGAATCATTACTCCTCAGTGTTGATAAGTTCTGTATTTTACAAAAGTATAAATAGCATTTGATCTACTTGGCATAACACTGTCTGTGGTGGAAAGGATGTTGCAAATTAATGTGATATTGTAATACCTTGTCTTGCATACATGAGTTTTAATAATATTTGTATGGATTTTATCTATAGTTGTTCTCTAATTTTAAGAGGCTATCAACTCTGAAACAGTAAATAAAAATAGATAACATTTTTAAGAGCACGTCAGAAATATCAGAACAGAATTTTAGAAATACTGTAATTCAGATTTCTGTTTCTTACTGTCTTAAAACAAAGAGTATTCTATAAAACTTACAATCTTTATCTGGAATCAATATAATCAATTTTCATAAAGACAGTCCACCTACCATGGGCTCCATACAATTAAAGCGATGTCCTCCACCACACAGGTTTGTAACAGTGAATCCAGCTGAGGTCTTTGACCTTCATATCATATCAAAGGGATTTTATGAAATCTTTTCCAAGCTCCATCTTTAGATCTGAGAAAAGCATGTGAGGTTCTGCTTCAAAGCAAAACAACTGCCAATCTGTGTCACAGACCCACCGCACTTAACTAGCAGTTACCTGGGACCCAGAACATCGCAGAGCTCAGGCTCAGCCAGTCTCTAACAAAAAAGGAAACAAAAAGGACACAGCTTGCAGGAACACAATAACACCAGTACATGGGAGTTTTCCCTAACATACAGTTTGTGCAGAGGGAGCCAGCTCACCTTCCTCTTTTGAGTCTTGACAGGGAACTCACTAGCACAGCAAAGACTCCCCCTTCAGACTAGATGAAAGTGCTTAAAACTGTTCTAAGGAAATGGAACTGAAAGTCATCAGTATTGTTACAGTTTCTCAGTGGGTATGTAGTCAATGCTAAAACACGACAAACATTAACAGAGCATCGTTCTAAAATAACACTGAAAAAGATAGCTGAAGGCAACATAGTAGTGTGAGTGGTATCTCACAGCTCTCGAGTCCTGGGTTTGATTCTGAACTGCGGCACCTTCTGTGTGAAGTTTGCCTGTTCTCCCTGTCTCTGCATGGACTGCTATCCCATATAGCAAGTGGACCCGTCTCGCACACTTAACTTCTTGCATACAGTCCAGGTTGCTGCAAACCTCATCAGGAATAACTGGATTTCTTATTAATGAATAGTAAAGTGATGTGCATCATCCAAAAACAATGCAGTATTGAAATCTCAAATCTATTTTTCCTTTTAATTAAAATATTAACTTGTTTGATACTACTGTAAGGAGCTTATTACTACATCACATTAAATGTTCACCAGTCACCAGTGACCGCTGCTTCATATTTGTCATGTTTTATCATTATAAAATATTTCAATATCTCAATTTATTTTCTGGTTAAGCTTAATGCAGCTCCACACAGAGAACTGAATAAAGGACTTATGTGCAATTATCTGTCATACTCTTACTGACTTTCTTCTTAAAGCTGATTCTGAAAGGCCAAACATTTATAATATCCACAAGCCATTGAACTATGCCTATTTGCTAAGGATATCAAAAGTTTTGTATATAATATCATTAGTGTAATTGTAAGACAAGTTCTCCAATTTCCAAAAAAAAAGTGTTTCCCTTTTTTTTAACCACAATTCTCTATCTTGCATGTTAGAATTCTAGGTTTTTTTTTCCCCGATTTGCACCCTAAGACATCAGTAACTATGTAACTACAAAAGTGGTACTTTAGTTATTAAATGGCGACAACGTGGAGGTGTAAAATAAATTGCACCATTTCAGAAATGAAACTCCTGATTTCCTTTGCCACTGCTGGAAAATTCAAATCATCGCGAATCCCCCATGCTGAGTACTTTCCATCGCACCGCCTGCACAATGTCGTCTGAAATCACTAAGCACAAGCTAAAATACAAAAAAAAACATAGAACAACGTGCAATGGCCTGTGCACATTTCAGGATCTGAAAGAGAATTAGCTGCTTCCTAGTTGTCCCTGTCTTATGTGTCTCAGCCTCTGGTCAGTCCTTTGTGCCTATAGGGTGTAACAGGGCACCACGTTACCCACCTGATGATTGGTGTCTTTGTTGCTTGTTCCTTGTTTCAGCTCTCACCACATGGGATCTTGTTTCTTCTTTGCATTGTTTCCTTCTCTCTTTAAAATCAGTTCCCTGCCATCTACATCTACTGTATGTGGAACATAGCTGGGGTTCCCAGCCTTGGTACTGGAGGCTTACACAACTCCTGGTTTTTTATTCCAGCTGAGCCTAATTACTTAATTGAAGCCATAATTGAATTAAGAAGCTGTTTGATTGGAACATTTACAAGATTGTTTTCTACTTAAGTTTTGACTTGTACGTTACTTATGAAATATAGTAGTTGAAAGGCAACCTTCAACACGTGTAAGAGCTGAAAATAATCAAACAGTTCACCTTAATCCAAGTATTAAGTCCATTAAGGGATCCATTGTGTAACAAAGCTTGGCTGGAATGATACCCAGCAGGTACTGTATGTGTGCCTTCAAGACAAGCACTGGGAGACCCTTGGACAGAGAAGTAGACTTGATGTACGATAATCAAGACTGAAATGCAATGTCGAAAAACATTTCTCTCTCTGAAATCTTAGTAGACCTACTCATCCTCATTAAATTTAGCATGTAATCAACACTATACCAGTGTTGGATTAAGATCATTCATGGCACATATTTAAGGTGGATCTATTATGTACAATTTCTGTCTTGAAGGCATTCTGTAACAGAGTGGTTTTGGGTGTGACTCACTGTGGCTCACTCACTGCTCCTCAATGGTGATACCCATATTACTGTCAAGCTTCACAGGTGACAACTTTTTACTTATGAACAAAACTGCAGCCTATAGGCCTGTCTTAAAGTGTTGGATGGAGGCACTCTTAGCCAAATTGCATAAAAGGAAATTCTTTCCATTGGGCTGAACTGTAGTTAGGTTACACTGACTTAGTGCAAAGGCTGTGTTCGCACATAAGAACACAGAAAAAGGTTACAAATGAGAATAGGCCACTCAGCCCATCAGTCCTTTTTGGTAGTTAGTAGCTTAATCATGGCATATGAACATTCTGACACCTACACTCCTTGGAATAATTAAAGACAGACAATTGGAATTTTAATACCCCCTTTTATTACAGGAAGCTAAAAAATCTTTTTTTTGCATTAGGCAAGGTAAAAAAAAATTAACCATGCAAGACAATAGCATTAATCATAAAGTGTAAAAAACAATGAAGTGACTCTCCTGGAGAAGGAAGGCGATGCATCACCTACAGAGTGGCATCTAAGAGACTGTGATGGGTGTTTAATAGTCATAACAGTAGGATTAAGTGCAATATTGTAGCTGTGTTAACACATGCTGATATAACTGGATTATACTTTAACGTGACAAGCATTTTATAATCACAAACTGAATTTGTGTAAATGTCAATATGACTAATTAAAATCCATTTCCACTGTAAAATAAGCATTCATTCATTTTTACAAGTGTATAGTGCTATTTTGAACCAACTAAAAAAGTAAATATATTGTCATCTTATTGCTATTAATTATTATAGGGGCTCCACTTATATCATTTTTTTTTTTTTGCTTTAAGAGAAATTTGAACAAATGACAGACCAGGTCAGAGTACTTTATTTAAATGCTAGTGGTCTGGATGTTATAGATGTTGTTTTCAAAGCTGTTTTTTTTCTTCACACAGTGCAAGGTGAGAGGAACAGTCAAAACTCCAACATCATCTCTTGCCTTTAAATTGACTTTACGTGTGTCCCAAGGTGAGTTTGATCATATTTCCATATTAACGTGCTTTAACAACTGTGCGAGGTAACATGGCTTCAAGCTCAGCACAGTTCATATCAGTTTGAGTTGCTGTGTTCAATTAAGTTGAACAGAAAGTTGCTAGGCGTACAGGTTTGATGGGACTGTGATCAATTGGCTATCATTTGAAGAAGTGCTTAAATTTCGGTGCCACATGATACTTAGGGAAGTCTTTTGTCAGGTTCTTAATCAATAGTGCTGTATATTCAGGGGGAGATTCTGTTCAACAAATCTTAAAAAGAGGATGCATGAAATGTCTGTTCTGGCACAATGTAAGTGACATGCATCCAGTAATGTCCACTCTATCAGAGCCTTGTTCTTTCACAGCCAGCGCCTTTGTCCAGTGACACTGTTGAAGATGTACTCTCTCCCTGTGACTAGGAGACAAACAAAGTCTGTTATCCAGGCTTTGACTGTCAGAACTGAAACTTCTGATTCAGTTTAGTGATTTTCCACAAAGGCCTTCATTGCTCTTACAATGCATGATGCATTTCACTTAAAACAAAGTAATTATGTAGACATTTGCTAAGTACTGTACAGTATATTGATATACAGAAAATCTCTTGTGGCATTTTATACATTAGAAGGCATCCTACTGTATGCTTATAGTCATTTTATGTCTATTCACAATGATAATGACAGCTTTCAGTCTGCATAATGGGAATTTTTATCCTGGCAACTGAGGCTAAATCGATTTGCACTATGAAATGTGTTATTGACTGGAAAAAATGAATAACTCCAGCAATATCGCATGATAGCGAAATTCGAATTCAAATTCAGGGACGCTATCTGAGGGCGGAAGGGAATAGGAATATTAACCAAATTACTTACTCGGGTCCTGGGCTCTTCCATCGAATCGCTGCTGGAAAAATAAATGACCACACATTAACGCTCACTAACACTGAAGAACCACCGTTTTTTATCCGACTAGAAATAGGGCTTAAAACTGCTCATTCCAGAGACGGAGAGTGTCCCTCAGCTGAAAGCGATCGCAGGCAGCGGCCCGTTCTGAAGTGAGGCGGTGGAAAGGGAACTGACCAGGGAGAGGGGGCTCTCGGGGATCTCCTTGTCCGCGGCTGGGGGGGTTGAGCTCTGCTGATGGAGGTTGCTCGGCGATGTGGGTCCCGCATCGTCAAAGACTCCCCTGAACTGGCCACCGCTTGAATCAAAAACACATGCAAGCGGCCGCTTTAAAAGCCCTTTACACTCTCGTCTCTGTCGTGAAAGGCTAGATTAAAATAAAAACCCAGCAAAGTCACAGCTCCCCTGGCTGCCCTAAACAAGAATAACTTATCCATGTACCAGTTCCAATAAATCCAATTACTCCCATCAGAACGCAGACAGAGACTTGCCAACACAAAAACGCTAGACTTAAGTTCTCATTCATACAGTACCTTCAGTCATATCCTTACTTAACACTTGCTTTTCCATGCAAATATGTATGCGTATCGTTGTGGTTGTCGTGTTTTTTTTCTGTCTGTCTGTACATCAACACTGCTGCTGTAAAACAAACTGCCTCCTCAAGGAAAATAAAGACTCTCTCTCTATCGGCATGACAACTGGGGTCATTTCACTGAGGAATGGTGCCGTTTCAACACAAGCGAAGGACATTTTGGGGAGCAAAGACTCGGGAGAACAACAAAAAAAAAGCAACCAAACTCAACCCGCCTTTCGCAATCTTTTTAAATAAAGCTGATTTTCCAAGAATGGTGATTTAAGATTTTTTTTTTCCCCTCTGGAAAAAATACCACCCACCTGATAGGAATCACTTGCTTTTTTTGAGAAACTTGTTTGTTTTTTTTAACGTGACCAAGGGTTCACAAGTTTCGCTGAGGGTTTCAGAGTCGGATACCGGAAGGTATCAGGTTAAGCCACTTTCCGCTCCAGTCCGACAGAGGGGGGAGGGCTACGGGGCTGGAGCTCACCTGTCCTGCAGGAGGGGTTTGGTGGCTTCTATGGGGGCCCGCCCGCAGACTGAGGTCCTGCAGGAAGAAACACCTCTGTATGAGTGCCCAGCGGGCAGGGGCCACATGCAGAGATCCACATGCTGCTTGGTTCCTTGTTAAAACAGTCATAGTGGCAGGAGTGATAAGCTGCTCTGAAGCTGGAGGCTTCCCTTACAGCTCTCAGAGGCCTGGCAGGGCACTAAGCTTACTGCCCTGAATATTCCAGAGGTCCTAAACCCCAGCAGCTCCGGCCTGCTATGCACTGCTGCTTGGGGGGACAAGCTGGCTACACGCATGCAAAAATCAGAGAAGAAAAATCTGCCATCTGTAGGTAGGTCATAACTGAACCAGCAGTTACTAAAGTATGAAGCTCAACCTGCACCCCAAACTGTGAGGGGTTCCCCTTTATTGTTTTTTTTTTATTTATGTGTATTTTGGAATATCCTGCTGTGACAGACCCTGCTGTCAAGCAGGGCAGTCTCCTGAGTTGTACAAAAACACACAATCTGTTACAGTCCCAGAGTAAATTCCAGGGTAAACATTAAACAAAAAGTCACCACTAGCACTGTGCATGCCCTTTAAATACCAAACAAAAGCCTAATTACACCCATGAGAGAAGGAACATTTCTAAACCCTTTACCAATTAACCAATAATTTCATCAGTCACCCCTAGTGTGGCTATTTACAGGTAATAAGAGGTTGTGTAGTGACCTCTAGTGGCAGGCCAACTGTAACTGCAGCCCCTTCTTATGCCACTCTGCTGCACATTCTTACAAATCCCTGCTGGAGTCTAAACATATCTTTACCAAACTAATCTCTAATCACTAGTAAATAGTTTAGGATCATGATTGGCATGATTGGAACACATAGGCTTGGGAGCTGATACATACAGGGTGAGCAGTTTCCAGGTGAGTAAGGCCAGAGCCAGCAGCAGCAGGGCTCCAGCAACTGTGAGCACGACCACAAACCAGGTGTCTGGGACCCACTCGAACACCGTGAGCGTCACTATCTTAGTCGGCCGGGGCCTGTGCTGCAATCACAATGATGACGGTGAAATGTGTGAGGGAAGACCTCGCTCTCTGGGTGGCTTGCATCTCTGCTTCCACTTAAGAGTCTTCGGTTTCAACCAGTCCTGCCCCATTTCCTCAATTTCAACTTCCCACTCCTTCCAAAAGTCTGAAAAACACAATTTCATCCCTCCCTCCCCTATTTACATATATTTACCCCTTGTATTTTCCCTTCAAACAGATCTATCAGCTTGAAGCCATTACATCTTCACAAACTAGATCCGCCCTGATGTTCAGAATGGTGAAAATCTTTGGGCCTGAAAAAAAGGCGCAGACAGCTTTCAAGAAAAAAATGTAACAGAAGGAGAACAAATGTGAGATTAACAGCTAAAGACGATGGGTCTTACCGGATATTTTTGGAAAATGAGAGATAGAGAGCTAACAAATGCACAGCAGGATTTGAGAGCTAAAAAACACAACAGGACTTCTATAGTGGGCCAGAACTTGGAAGATGTTCTCTTACGCAGCTCGTCGTAATTCTGAAACAGACTCCTACAGCACCAAGCTCGGGTCTGGTTAATGGAGGAAACCCGGCCTGGTGCAGGCACACAGGACGCGGGAGCCTGGAAGCAGCCCCTGTGGTTTCCATGGCGGCGTTACCGTGGTTTTGACAGTGGTGGTGGGCTGGGTTGTCGTCCAGGGAACCACGTGCACGATCACGGTCGCCGTGGTGGAGAAAACAGGTGGGCCTTTGTCTTTCACCTCAATCAGGAGCTCATAGTCCGTGGGGTCATAAACCCCCGGCGTCTTGAAGGAAAAGGCGTTCCGGGAACACAGTGCGCTTCCCTTCATGGTGAAGCGGTTATTAACGTTGCCTGAGGAAGTACAGGAGGTGTCAACA